ATGTATTGCTATGCTCCTTTTTTTTCTTTTTCTCTTTTTATATGTATTTATAATTATGAAAAATTAATAAATATTTGAATTAAAAAAAAATAAAAAAAAAAATGGAAGACCAAGTGGGAGAAAATTGTGCCCATCTTGCTTGTCGTGGCCTTAGGCGTTTTTGCCGTTTTCAGGTACTCAAGGTTCTTATGGTCTGTAAAGATAAGAATAGGATGGGATGCTCCCTCCAGTAAGTAGCGCCATTCCTCAAGTGCTGCCTTGATGGCAAGCAACTCTCTGTCTCCCACATCATAGTTTCCTTCAGAGACATTTAATTTCCTGGAAAAAAATGCAACAGGGTGCAGGAGGGATTTGAGTCCCTGTCTTTGTGACAAGATGGCTCCTACAGCATTCTCAGAAGCGTCTACCTCGAGGACAAAGGCTAGAGCAGGATCTGGGTGCTTCAGGATAGGTGCGGAGGTGAACATGGTCTTTAATTGCTCAAAGGCTGCTTGGGCCTCGGGAGTCCACTTGAAAGCAATATGCTGCCTGGTGAGCTGTGTTACTGATGCGATGATCCTAGAGAAGGTTTTGATAAATTTCCTATAGAAATTTGCGAATCCTATGAAATGCTGCACTGCTTTCCTGTCTCCTGTAATGGGCCATTCTAAGGCAGAGGACACTTTTTGGGGGTCCATGGAGATGCCCTCGGGAGTGATCACAAGTCCGAGGAACTGGATAGATTGTCTCTCAAATTCACATTTTTCAGCTTTTGTGTAAAGATGATGTTGATGTAATCTATCCCAGAGTTTTCTTTATGTGGTCCCGATGTCTTTCTGTGGAACTGGAGAAAACTAAGATGTCATCTAGGTAAACGATTATGAACAGATCCAAATAGTCCCAAAATATATTGTTTACCAGGTGTTGGAAGGTTGCTGGGGCATTACAGAGGCCAAAAGGCATCCCCAAGTATTCAAAATGCCCGAATTGGGTTCGAAAGGCCGTCTTCCCATTCGTCCCCTTCATGAATTCTTACTAGATTGTAAGCGCCCCTCAGATTCAGTTTTGAGAAGAAACGTGCTCCTTGTAGCCTCTGGAATAACTCGGGGACTAGAGGAAGGGGATGACGGTTCTTGACCGTTATCTTGTTTAGGTCACGGTAGTCCACACAGGGTCTGAGGGTGTGATCCTTCTTCTCAACAAAGAAGATACCAGCTCCTGCTGGTGATGTAGAAGGCAGAATAAACCCTTTTTCAAGACTCTCATCAATATAACCCCAGAGGACCTCTAATTCGGCTTCAGATAGGTGGTAAATTCGTCTGAAAGGGATTTCGGCGCCAGGCAGGAGCTCAATTGGACAGTCATAGGAACGATGAGGAGGAAGAGTATTGACACTCTTCTTATTGAATACATCCAGATACTCGTGGTACACAACAGGAACGAGTTTTGTGGTCTCGGAATCAGGGTGAATACCGAGAAGAGGAGTTGCTGCACTTGTTTCTTTAGGGATACAGTGGTTCAGGACAGTATTCCGAGAGGAAGAGGATCTCTCCAGACAACCAATTGATGGTTGGGTTGTGTGCTCCTAGCCAGGGCATAACTGGGAAGATCGGGGAAGAAATGATATCCAGACATAGGTATTCCTGGTGCCCTGAGGAGGAGTATAATATCGGCATGGTCTCGTGTCACAGGGCCAGAACTGATACCAGACCCATCTGCAAGATGCACTGCAAGCTTTTTGGGCTTTGGTACGGAGTGGAATCTTGTTCTGAGTAGTGAAGTTAGCATCCATAAAACAGCTAAAAGTGCCAGAGTCTAATAATGGCGGGACTGTGATTGTTTTTTCGTCCAATTGTAGTTGAAGATGGAAAGATAGATGCGTTCCGCTTGTTCCTTGGGGAGGCATCATATAAAACCAGTTGGGAGAGGGCTTATGAGGTTTTATTGGACACGTCACCCACATAATGACCTACATCACCACAGTAGAGCAGAGGTTGGCCTTCTGCCGTCAAATGCGTTCTGCCGTGGACAACTGTGGTCTCCAAAAACTCCTCCTGGATGGCTTAGTAGGCAGTTCTGATGGAACAGTATTCGTAGAGGGCACATGGGTCCCTATTTCTGAACATATCAGAATCTCCCCGTTAGCTTTCTCATTCTCTTCTCTACCGAAATCTGACGATCAATGTGGATCGTTAGGTCTATCAGGTTCTCTCCACCCTGATTGTTATCCCCACTTGGGCAAGCTCATCCTTCAGGGTGTCAGAAAGACCAAGACGGAACTGTTAGCGAGAGCAGACTCACTCGTTCCACTGAGTATCGGAACTCCAGATGTGAGGAAATCAGTAACATATTCTTCCACAGGTCTTTGGCCTTGCTGTAGCTTATTAAGCATAGATTCCGCAGTTTGGCGCAGAAAATAATCAGCATAGATTTGTGCCATTGCTGTGAAAAAAGAGTCCACTGAAGTTAGAGCCGGATCATGTTGTTCACGAAGGTGGTGTGCCCAGGATTGAGGTTCAATCCCTGAGAAGTGTGATGATAAATCCGCACCTTGGTGCTTGATGATGAAAAGGTCCTTGGAAGCAGAGAAAAATACAACTCACAGGAGTTACGAAAAGTTCTGAACTTCCTACAGTCTCCTGTAAAAAAAACTCAGGCGTAAGCACCCGAGGTTCCGGTAGGGCAGGGGTTCCAAAGATCATACTGGGCTCTGTTTTAGTGGTTGACTCCAAGGTTGCAGTGAGATCTGTGTGTGTGAGGTCATTAGAGTCGGTTAGCAGTTGTCTCTCCAGCATAAGATCAAAGTTTCTCTGCAAATCTTGCACCAAGTTAAAAAGGGCAGCTACTGATTGGTAAATGTCCCCCAGTGGAGAGGCCTCCCTTTCGGACTCCATCATTGGCTGACTGGTACTGTCACGTAGACTGAATTGACGAGGTCGGCCTCACTTGTGTCACTAGCCCTGACCCCGCTGAAGTTGGAACAGAGGAAGTCTAGGGACCAGGGGGACAAGAGCGCCAGTGGTTGTAGTTTGCAGCTCTTGCAGATGATGACCTTGTAAGGCTGATGATCCTCTGATTTTGGCACAGGAGAGCAGGCAGAGCAGGTTTGGTAGATTGCCAGGCGTGCAGCAGAGCAAGGCAGGTAGTGAGGACGAGAGACAGGAGCAGTGTCATGAATAGCCAAGGTCATCAACAGTCGGGCAGCGCGGTACAGAATCAGAAGGAAAAGCCAAGGTCAGGAGCAGAGCCGAAGTCAGGAAACCAGTATCAGGAGAGCAATCAAAGTCGGGTCAGGAACAAGCCGGGTCAGCAACAGAGGAATCGTACAGGAATAAGCAGGACACAGGGGGGAGCTGAAGACCAGTCAGCACTGGACATGAGCAGAGGAGCACCTTAAATAGGCTGTCTGGCGCCAATCTTCGCCGTGCATATGCATGTGTCTGCGCGCATGCACACAACTGGCAATTCTCCTGTGGGAATCTGTATGTGCGTTCCCGATCGCGGTTCTTCTTGCCGGAAATCCCTTACAGATATGTAACACAAAAACAAAGAAATTACAAATATGGTCAACCACAAACCTATAAACCATATTATAGGAGACCAGCATATAAACAATATAGCATCCCTCAGTCAAATAGATATTCACCATTAGAATGGGAAGTATCTGATTCCCCTTTATCTAATCCTTTTTTAGGATGGAACCATTATCCACCCACAGAGGGGAGCAAGAGGAGGAAGGAGGATTGAACAGAAAAAGGAGAAGAGAGAAGGACAGGGTATATTTAACCTTAGTGGGGTCCCTCTAAAGCAGTGTTTCTCAACTCCAGTCCTCATGGACCCCCAACAGGTCATGTTTTCAGGATTTCCATTATTTTGCACAGGTGATTTGATCAGTTTCACTGCCTTAGTAATTACCACAGCTGTTTCATCTGAGGGAAATCCTGAAAACATGACCTGTTGGGGGTCCATGAGGGCTGGAGTTGAGAAACACTGCTCTAAAGGAAGAGGAAGTATATACATTAGATAAAGGCTTAAAACGTCGCTCCACTGAGAGGATTAAATAGGTTCGATACATATGTAAGTCTACAGAAATTAGTGAGGAATTTAAATTTAAAAAAAAATTTGCCCAAAACTCAATAATAAAGAACAACAGAGAGCAAGATAATATATATCACAGTAATTTGAGAAATAAGTCCCTCTTCAACCCAAAGGTCACTGATAATAAATATATTGACATCTTTGAGAAATAAGTAACAGAAGATCTAGAAACTTTAAATATTAAAAAATATAAGGAAGAAGCATTATTGAGAAAAGGCAATACAAGTTTGAACAGTAGAAAATACATTGTAATACATCCTGCGGACAAAAGAGGCGGCATAGTAGTGCTATCAAAGGAATATTATGAAATAACTATGCAGTCTATGTTAAATGATAGTGATACTTATAAAAAAACTTTCTAATAAATCCACGAATATATATATAAGAAAGAACTAATAAAATTAATAAAATATGGGAGTAAAAAAGACATTCTAAATAATAAAGAAGCAAAATATCTAGTACCGTCATCATGCAAATTACCTATTATATATTTAGTACCCAAGATACATAAAGATAATGTTAATCCACCAGGAAGACCCATTATAAATGGCATAGACTCACTCACAACAAGACTTGTTAAATATATAGATAGCTATCTGCAGCCTTTAGTGCAGGGGTCCTCAAACCTTTTAAACAGGGGGCCAGTTCACTGTCCCTCAGACCGTTGGAGGGCTGGACTATAGTTTAAAAAAAAAAAACTATTAACAAATGCGGACAGTACAGATGACGAGAGAGGACATAAAACAGGAGATGACCAGAGACTGCGGACACAGTACAGGAAATGACCAGAGACTGCGGACATACAACGGCGGTGGGAATACTGGGCCGGCCGCTCCATAAGACGCACAGACATTTCCCCCCAAGTGTGTCTTATGGAGCGAAATAGTGCCCCATCATTGGTGTCAGTGGGAGGAATAGTGCCCCATCATTGATGTCAGTGGGAAGAAACGTGCCCCATCATTGGTGTCAGTGGGAAGAATCGTGCCCCATCATTGGTGTCAGTGGGAGGAATAGTGCCCCATCATTAGTGTCAGTGGGGGGAGGAATAGTGCCCCATTGTTGGTGTCAGTGGGGGGAGGAATAGTGCCCCATCGTTGGTGTCAGTGTGTGTGGGGGGAATAGTGCCCCGTCATTGGTGTCAGTGGGGGAAGGGGATAGTGTCCCAGCATTGGTGTCAGTGGGAGGAATAGTGTCCCATCACTGGTGTCAGTGGGAGGAATAGTGTCCCATCATTGGTGTCAGTGGGAAGAATAGTGCCCCATCTTTGGTGTCAGTGGGAGGAATAGTACATCATTGGTGTCAGTGGGGGGGGAAATAGTGCCCTGTCATTGGTGTCAGTGTGGGGGGGGGGGGATAGTGTCCCAACATTGGTGTCAGTGGGAGGAATAGTACCCCATCATTGGGGTCAGTGGGGGAAGGAATGGTGTTCCATCGTTGGTGTCAGTGGGGGGTGGAATAGTGCCCCATCGTTGGTGTCAGTGGGGGGGGGAGGAAATAGTGCCCCATCGTTGGTGTCAGTGGGGGAGGAATAGTGCCCCATCATTGGTGTCAGTGGGGGGAGGACTAGTGCCCCATCATTGGTGTCAGTGGGAGGAATAATGCCCCATCATTAGTATCAGTGACACCAATGATGGGGCACTATTCCTCTCACTGACACCAATGACACTTAACTTGCTGACCCCTCTTCCAGCATGGCGCTGCTGCAGCCAGCATACCTGCTTGCAGCAGCACCATCTGCACGGCACACTTACCTGTCAGCTGTCCTTCACTCTGGCCTCTCCCTCACTCAATGTTCGCCGGGCCACTCGGCTCCGCCTCCTCGCAGGTGATTGGCCGCCTGTGTGCCTTTCCTGAGCTACAGTTCTGGCGCCCAATCACCAGTGAGGAGGCGGAGCCAAGAGGCAGCGCGAACAGAGTGAGGGAGTGGCCGGAGTGAATGAAGGAGCAGCGCTTCCTGGACTGGATCGTCGTGGGACTGGGACACGGAGCCAGGTAAGATACAGCAGCCCCCTGCCCGCCCCTGTGCTTAGTGTCCCCTCCTCGCGGCAAATACGCCCCTGCCGGCAGGCCGGATAAATGTCCTCGGCGGGCCGCATGTGGCCCGCCGGCCATAGTTTGAGGACCCCTGCTTTAGTGCAACAAACAGTTGCGTCTTTGAAAGACACCAAGGATGTCATCCAACTAACCCAAGATCTGCAAGTTAATAGCAACACTTATTTGAGTACAGCAGATGTATCATCATCAGGGGGCCCTGGATGCAACTAAATGGGCCTTAGATAAATATTCAACTCTCCCTAGCAAACATAAAAAGTTCCTATTGAAATGCCTAAAGTTCTGTTTAAACCATAATTACTTTTGGTATAAAGGTCAATACTATCTACAAATAAGAGGGGTAGCCATGAGCGGTAAATTCGCCCCAGGTATAGCGAACCTATACATGGCCAAATGGGAAGAGGAATATATGTTTCAAAACCAAAAAGAAGAAATACTGATGTACAACAGGTTTATTGATGACTTGATAATCATATGGGATGGAAGATGAAGAATCTCTCATTAAATTCTATGACAATCTGAATAGGAATGATAAAAATATAGTGGTAAGTTGGAATATAAGTCAAAATGAGGTCAATATTTTAGATATACAGCTGGGAAAAATGGGATCTAAATTATATACAAAAAATTTCTCCAAACAGACTGACAGGAACGCATACATACCTGTAAATAGTTGCCACTATAGACCATGGCTTAAAAACATACCTAGAGGGCAGTTTATGCGACTCAGAAGGAACTGCACAAATAGCACGTACTATAGAGAAAAAAGTAGCAATCTAGCCCAAAGATTTATAGAAAAAGGATATAGAAAAGAAAAAATAGAAATAGAGAGGAAAGAAATAGAACATATGGATAGATCAAAAATGCTTGAAAATAAAGAAAAGAACAAGGTGGTAAATGAGGAAGTATCAGTAGTATTACAATTTAATAAACAATATAAAGATGTGCAAAAAAATTATTACCAAACACTGGAAGGTATTAAAGTTAGACAAAAATCTGAAAGATATTATTCAAGACAAGCCTAAATTTATATATAAGAAGGCTCCAAATGTAAGGGATAAAAGTAGTTAAAAACATATTAGAACCAACCAATAAAAAAATACCTATCACAGGTTTTTCAAGGGGTAGGCTTCTATGCATGTGGCCGTTGTTATAGCTGTAAAAGGGCAGTGAATAACCCTAAGCAAAGGTTTGAATTTCATAACACGAATAACAATAAGGAGTATGAAATAAAACAATTTATTTCACGTGACACAAAAGGGGTAATTTATGCTTTAAAATGTCTGTGCAATTTAGTTTACATAGGATGGACTAGGATCTGAATAAATTGAAGTCCAGCAGTTTTTTTTTTTTTTTTTTTTTTTTTTAGCTCTACTGTTACTCTGGTTTGAAATGGCTTTTCTTGCCATTTTTTTTATTATACAGCTGGTGCATTACATTGTTTGATCACAAGGACTAATTTTTTTATTCCACTTGTATAGTGATTCTAAGATAATTTCTTTGTTATGTCAGGACTATGCCCAAGTCATCTGTGCCATGTGTGAATGTAGTTTAAATGTTTTCCTCCTTGGCAGTATTAACCACTTGACGTCCAGAGGATTTACCCCCCTTAATGACCAGGCCTCTTTTTGCTACTCGGCGCTGCACTAATTCAACTGATAATTGCGCGGTCATGCAATGCTGCACCCAAACGAAATTTACATCCTTTATTTCACACAAATAGAGCTTTCTTTTGGTGGTATTTGATCACCTGTGCACTTTTTATTTTTCACGCTATAAACAAAAAAAGGCCAAAAATTTTGAAGAAAAACAATATTTTTTACTTTCAGCTATAAAAACTATATAGTAAACTCAAAGTTGGTTATAAATTTAGGCCAAAATGTATTCTGCTACATGTTTTTGGTAAAAAAAATCCCAATAAGTGTATATTGATTGCTTTGTGTGAAAGTTATAGGGTCTACAAACTATGGTATAGATACTGCAATTTACGCCATTTTTTTGCTATACAGCGCTGCGCTAGTTTAACGGACAATTGCGCGGTCATGCAATACGGTACATAAATGAAATTTACATCCTTTTTTTTCCCCACAAATTGAGCTTTCTTTCGGTGGTATTTGATCGCCTGTGCGGTTTTTATTTTTTGCGCTATATAAAAAAAAGGCTGACAATTTTGAGGAAAAAAAACAATATTTTGGACTTTTTGCTATAAAACATGTCCAGTAAAAAAAAATTTAAAAATCAAATTTAGTCATAAATTTCTGCCAAAATGCATTCTGCGACATGTCTTTGCTAAAAAAAAAACCTAATACGTGTAAATTAATTGGTTTACGTGAAAGTCATAGCGTTTACAAATGGCGGGAAAGATACTGGGATTTTTAGTTTTTTTTTTATACTAATAATGGCGGCGATCAGCAACTTATGGCGGTGATCAGCGACTTATGGCGGGCCTGCGGGACTGCGGCGGACATTCTGACATTGGGGGGTACTGACTTGGGGTCACTGACATCCCCAGTGACACCAATACAGTGATCAGTGCAAAAAAAAAAACACTGACACTGTACTAATGGCACTGGGGAGGAAGGGGTTAAGTTTATTATTCAGGGAAAGGGTTAACTGTGTGAGGGGAGTATTTTACTAGGGGGTGGGGGTGTGTACTGCAGGGAACACCGCTGATCGGGAGAGAGAAACTCTTCTGTCCCGATCAGCATGTCCTGGAGCTATCAGGGAACTGACAGAAAGCACAGCTACTGCAGCTGTGCTCTCTGTCAGTGATTGCCGCCGATCGCCGGGACATAGCCGGTAACGACTGGCTGTGACCCGGCGACTGACATCCGCAGCTGTGATCGGCGGGACAGGTAGGGCAGCGGCACACCTCGCACGCGCCCCCTACCTGGTTTCAAAACACACGTTTTAAAACGTGCTTTTGCCCAGCCGTGCCGCCCTGCCACCGTATTTATACAGTGGCTGGGCGGCATGTGGTTAACCACCTTATTACAGCTCAGCTGATACAGTTCATCTACAATTTTAGCCTTTGCAAGTAAGATATTCCCTTTTTTGATGGTGCATCATGGAAGGGAATATCATGTCATCTTGGAAGGGAATATCATGTCATCTTGGAAGGTCACTACATTGCCATTTGTGAGATTCTTCACTGACAAAAGATTAGTTTCAAGAGCAGGGACATACAGGAACTTTTGCACAGGTATCTTTCTGGTGACACTCTGGGAAATAGAAAATCCATTTGCCCATTAGATGTGATGATTTGTCCTGTTTTATTCTGGTCAAGGTGAGTAAAAACATTTCTGTCATTTGTTAAGTAACTCAGCTCCTGAATCAACACACAATGCCTGAAAAGATGAGGTGCAACTTTTGGATTGAAAAACATATTTATTATCTGAAGAAAAATCAGTTTCTTCATTCACACTTTTTGGCCTTTTGTAGTTTTGTTTGTTTTTGCATTTTAACGTTACTGATTCTGCAATTTGCTTTTGAATGGCCTTTTTTCTTGCAAGCAAAGCTTTCATTTGTTTCTTGTCACATGTTACTGTTTTTGTTCCTATTTTTTCACCTTTAAAGCTGACTCTGTGACAGAAGCACTGTCACTATTAATGCTTTCTGTTTGACACTTATACCCACCCATAAGCTTGCCCTTAACTTATGCCAATGTGAGTTCATCATCTGAACGTGCAATAAGTACTATGACAGCCATTTCATAACTTTCTGGTTAACCACTTAGTATTAATGCTGCAACATGACAATCTTTTATTTCTTCTCCTATTTCTAAGGCATTCAGCCATTTCCAAAGTGTGCCTCATGTAATCCTGCACATTCCGGCCTTTCATCAGTTTGGTTTGGTATAGCTTTCTAATCAAGTACAGTTTATTGCTGAAGTGCTTTCATGCACCTTTTGTAATCCTTTCTACATTTCTTTAGCAGTTTCATACTTACATATATGTATGATTTGATCATCTTCTATGCTAAGAGAGATTGTGCTCTGATCTTTCTCTGTCCACTCATCTGAAGGGTGTTCTGGCTTGACATAATACATTTCCACATACCGTGTCTTGTTAGCAGCATTTTCACCTTGGATTTCCAAGACTGGTAGTTCTGGTTTGTCAGATTAACAAATGAAAGCTTTGTTGCAGCTGTGTTACTGGCCATTTTCTTTTATTCTGCTGCAGACTTCTTTCTGTTGCTACATCTTGCACTTATCTGCTGTAGTCTGCTATGACTGGGCCCATAACCTGTTAGAAATGTTGTATATAGCCCTATAGCACAGAAAGTGCACAGTCCACATCACTGCAACCAGGAACCTTTTTATTCAGAGAAAAGACAGAGTTTTACCATAGTTGCACCTACAAACATAAACACTACCATTTACTGGCTGAAGATCTCTACTGAATACTGATGTAGTTGTTGCATAAAATACATAAATACTGTATTACAACAATCTATGCCAGCCCTTTCTAACAGAAAGATCTCCTGTTA